TTTAGGAGTTTCTATGCTTCCAATAACATTTAGCTAATTATATTTGAGTATTTTTTTATTTCATATTTATAGTCTGAACAACAACTAGACTTAGCAAATACACAAAGCTTTTAATTCTCCATTACATCTACAATCTAAAATCTGTTTTCACTAGGGGATAAAAAATTAACCTGTTCTTACTGTTTCCAAAAATTACTAAACACTTAAGTCATAATATTATTCACTCATAGTAATTACTTTCAGTCTTTCTTGGATCCTACAAAAGGAATTTTAACTCAGATAATTTTCCATATGTAGATGTAAAACCTAAAACAGAAACTAAAACTTTGTTTCAGGAGTAAGAAAAAAAAAAAAAAAAGAAAGAAAAAAAAAAAACAAATGTAACCACACACCAGAGTCACTCAAGTTTACCTCTTTTTCTTTTTACTTTGTAAAATAGCAAACTCCGAGTTTTGCTTAAGTTTTTCATGTTTTTATGTTTTGATTAGTCTATGTGAGTTGGTAGTTTTTACAGTTTTTAAATCGATTTTACTATTTTTACTGCTTCAACTGAAAAAAAAAAATACTGCTGAGCCTACAACAGCAATGGAAGACCACATAATTACAATCTGCACTTAGTAATTATTTACCTTATTAAGCATTAGTTTCTTCTAAGAGTTAGACAACATGATGTCTTTTAAAACTTTGCTTAACTCTTACAGTTTTCTTTTAAAAAGCATTTTTCTCTAAAAGAAAAATCAAGGTTTAATTATACTCAGGAACTTAAAGACATATTTAAAATATGACAGACACATTTTTCCTCTAGTGCTCTTATTGTTTAAGCTCATCACAATCAGTAAATTTTATTACTAAGAGCAGAATATAACCTCATCCCTTGACTCCATCAAAAGAGTACTCAGAAGGCAGAAGCATGATTAGCAAAGAGGTTTAATTATACTCAGGAACTTAAAAGACATGTTTTAAGTTATTTTTGAGACTGTCTATAACATAGCAAAGGTACTGTTATCGGAAAGTCCCTTTTGACGTTAGTTGACTAGCGTGTGTTAACTTTTTTGACCAAATAAAAGATTTTCTGTTTTGAATTTCTAAGCTACAAAAGATTTTTTTCAAATCTGGGCCAATAATCTACTCAGTGCAAGCTTGCAAGCATGCCACTTCTTGGGAGTGTGCATCTTCAAATACATCTACAGCAACCCATTTAAATTATATTCAAAGAAAAATGATAACACCATCTAGTTTGATGATTTAACCACATCCGTGTAGTCTCTATTTTAGAGTCAGCCTTGTCATTTTCACAGGAAATGAGAAATTTCTGTTGAAGTACCTCTGTCAGATATTAATTATTCACCAAAGTAAGTGGTAATCAATAAATGTGTACAAAAGTTTCTGTGTATTGACACTTTTAGTGCTAGTTGTTAACTTTTGTGAAGCCTCATTTAGTGCTTGACGTAAACACTTTTCTAGTTTCTATAATGTATAGGCTCTAGGGTTACTTATTTCAAATATAATTCTCTTCTTATATAACCTGTACTTTGTTAAGACAAACTGTTATGGTGTCTCAGTGGTATTTCTATCAATTTTTGTGATTTCATGTGTAGACTATTTATATAGGCTTTCCTATACAACTTCTACTGCTTATGAATCTGATATTCAGAATATTTGAGAAAAAATTACATAAAATTATTTTTTTCAAAGAGTTGGCAGACATATTTCTTGAGTATAAAATCATAACAGAGTTTTTCAATCACTTGGTTTTCTAACTAGAACAAATATTAAACTGGAACATATTTAGAGCAAATAAAAATAGACGACAAAAGGAAAGATATGAGTTACTTTCCACCCTTCTTTAATAATCACGCTTCTGCCTTATGAGTTAGATAATTACTCTTTTGAAGGAGTAAAGGGATGAGGTTATATTCTGCTCTCAGTAATAAAATTTACCAGTTGTTATGAGCTTAAACAGAAGAGCACTAGAGGAAAAATGTGTCCATCACATCTTAAATTTTTTAATAATGACATTGTTTTTATTGCTTTGAAAATACTTGCAATAAGAACACTTAAGTAAATAATATCCAATATCCAACCTAGATGTAGTTTCCCAGATTGCTTCTTGCTGGTATTATGTTGGATACCCCTAGAATCAAACAATTCCAGACTTTTGTGGGCCAGGTACATAGTTTGAGTCATGCACAGAAAACATAACCCTCTGCTTTGAATATCAGGTAATAACTTGACCACATACTGGTAAAGCATGCATATTAAGCATTAGCTTTTGTTGATTCATGTTTCTCTAGAGGGCAGATATTAAAGCCTGATATACATATATATGTATATCAGGCTTTAATATCTGCGCTGCCATGATAGCCACGTGACAGCTCCCTGCTTCCTCTCCTGTCCCCACTGTCTCTGCTGAATGAAGAACCTAGAGAGATTTTGTCACAACATAAAATCAGGTCCTGTTATCCCCTTTTTCCTAAGGCTTCCCATCCCTCCCAGAATAAAAATCAGAAACAAATATTAATGCGAAACTCTTTAAAAAATGGGCTTGGCTGAGCACAGTGACTCATGCCTGTAATCTCAGAACTTTGAGAGGCCAAGGTGGGCGGATTGCTTGAGCCTAGGAGTTCCAGACCATCCTGGGCAACAAAGTGAGACCCCCATTGCTATACAAAATTTCCAAACATTAGCCTGGGTGACAGAGCCAGAACCTGTCTCTAAATGAATACGCCTATACAGAGGCTCTACTTCTGTAGCCTCAACCTCCTTGGCTCAAGAGATCCTCCTGCCTCAGCCTCCTATGTAGCTGGGACTACAGGGGCGTACGACCACACCCAGCCAACTTTTTATTTTTTTTAAGGTGGAGTCTTGCTCTGTTCTCTCGGCTGGAGTGCAATGGCACCATCTTGGCTTATGGCCCACTCTGTCTCCCGGGTTCAAGCAATCATTCTGCCTCAGCCTCCTGAGTAGCTGGGACTACAGGTGTGCACCACCATGCCTGGCTAATTTTTGTACTTTTAGTAGAGATGGGGTTTCACCATGTTGGCCAGTCTGGTCTCGAACTCCTGACCTCAAGTGATCCCCCTGTCTTGGCCTCCCAAGGTGCTGGTATTACAGGCATGAGCCATCATGCCTGGTCATAATTTTTTGATTTTTTGTGGAGATTTCAACTGTCTTTGTTGCCCCGACTGTTCTTGAGCTCCTGGGCTCAAGCGATCCTCCTGCCTTGGCCTTCAAGGCATGAGCCACTGTGCCTGGCCTAATCCTGATAACACCATTTTTTTTTTTTTTTTTTTTTTTTATGACGGAGTCTCATTTTGTCACCATGCTAGAAAAAAAAAAAAATATATATATATATATATTAAAAAAAAAATATATATATATATATATTTTTTTTTTTTCCTCAAAACCTACCAGGGTCCCAGACTCTTCTCTTCTTGTTAGTTCCAGGTGTAAATAACCTCCTCCAATGATGTCTTCTGCTCAGAGTTCTTAAGCCTTCAAACTCTCCTCTAATTACTCTGACCTATCCCTCCCTCCTATCTATGGACCTATATGGAAATCTGTGGACCTGTATGGAAAGGCAATATCCCTTTTGCTTCTGGAATGGCTCCAATTTATAGTGGTATCTTTTGCTGACTGGGGTTACAGAAACATTTAAAAGATCCCAATCAATAGACTCTCACACAGCTTATATTACAGACATTGCTAGATAGGTATTCCCTTTCAGCTCAGCCTGCAAGTTAGTTGGTTATTTCATGCCTGACTTTACCCCTTTCAGTGCCTTCCTAAAGAAGAGGCTAACATAAACCAACATACGAACACGTTTTAGACAATTGTTCAAGAACAACGTATTTATCAGATATATAGCACAACTTCCAAATTATTGCAGACAGCATTTGTATCAGGTGCTTTTCTGTATCATGCCAAAGGTCATCAGTTTCCAGCCAGCTATATATATTTTATCATTTTCCATCATCTACCTATTTAGCATATGCATACATTTATGTTCATATAGCCTCTCACATCTGTTATCAATTTATGTATTAGGCTAAGGATCCACCAAAAATCAACTGTAAAATTTAGTGACCAAACAAGTAGAAAATGTCTTTATTTCTCACATAAACTCACATGATCCACTCATATCCTATTTAAGAAAACTAACTTACATGACCTAACTGAACTCTACTTGGGTTTTGAGACTTGCAAATATTCTAGCTGAGCATCCATATGCTCAAGTAAAACTTAGAAGTTTCAAATACTAGAAGGAAGAAGAGAAGAAATGGAGCTAAGGAACAATTAGGTAACTCTGCCTCACAGTCCAATGTTCTATTGACTCATCTTGTCTTTTATGTATCCATCTTACTTCCTGGACTCTTGATCTTAGAGAAAAAGTTTCATATACATTTATTGCTATAGTTTTAATTTGTCTTTAGATAATTATTATATATATATATATATATATATCATCTGTATAAAGGTATATATCATCATCTGTATAAATGTATATAAGTTTGAGAAGTTCATTCCTTTTAATAGCATTAACTGTGATACAATCGAAAACAATTTCAAATTATTTCTATCCACCTTAACTAGACAATATTGAACAACATACATAATTATCAAAATAGGCTGAAGCTGGCAGAATAACTATTCAAAGTCAAATTATGTCAACTATGTTTTACTTAAGAAACCAATTTTTCTATATATTTTGATAATTGGAGTGTTTTTTTTTTACTCCACAAATACATGTATATACGGTATATATGAACACAGTAAATTAAGAAGCTGTACAAAGAATTTTTAAAATTTTTATCTCCTATAAAATCAACTTAATTCATTTGATTGCCATCTAAGCTTCCTAGTTTACCAGTTTGGTAATCTAAGATTAGTAGTTTACTAATTCATATTTTGTCTTATGTTATTTTGTAAATGACATCACCAGTTCTTGGATATGCTGTCCTTAAACTTAACGTAAAACTTTGCTTGTATTTCAAATACAGGAAGAATATACTTCGTTTCTTAGATGCAGAACGAGATGTCTCAGTGGTCAAGAGCAGTTTTAAGCCTGGTGATGTCATACACTATGTGCTTGACAGGCGCCGGACACTAAATATTTCTCATGATCTACATAGCCTCCTACCTGAAGTTTCACCAATGAAGAATCGCAGGTTTAAGACCTGTGCAGTTGTTGGAAATTCTGGCATTTTGCTAGATAGTGAATGTGGAAAGGAGATTGACAGTCACAATTTTGTAATAAGGTAAGCATTCTTCTTTTCTTTGAGACTGGAAGTTTTTCAAAGACATTTTACTTAGGGATGGAAAACTGACAGATAATTTTATAGTATTACTAAAAGCTCAAACAAATATTTGTCTATGATATCCTTTGCTGTGTAACATTTAAATTACATTTATTCTGGAATAGAATATTATAATTATTGCATAGTTGAAATAAAAAGTGATCTCATCGTAGCAACAAGATTCACACAGCTTTTTTGGTGATAGAGGAGGCAAATGGCAATTTTAGTAAGTTTAATATTCACACAAAAATTTTTTTCTTACCATTCTTTATGCTCATTAGTTTTGTGTGATTTTATTTGTTGTATAAAGATTATGAATATTACTATGGAATGATGTAACAGATTTATGTTAATTTTGCTTTTTATTAATAATTATCTAGAAGATAGTAAGAGTTTAGTTTAGCAAGTTTGTGTTTGATATCCCGAGCCACATTTCTTTAATTTATCTTTATATATGGTACTTGCGTATGTTAGTGTATTTGAATTTTATAGTTTTCTTACATAATTAAGCATGCCTGCTTGTTTTTTATTAATGGTCAAGAGACGTTTGATGAATTGTGTGTTTGATTAACTTATTAACTGAAAAAACTCAACAGTAGAAGTAGAATTGTAATCACATCATAAATATAAGCAGTTTTTAACGGGCAATTGTTATATCTATACAGTTTTTTGGCTTGTTTCAGTTACTTGGAAAAATTAGGTAGATGAATGAAACATGGATATGGAAATGCGAAATAGCACAACATAAAGATGGATAGAAAAATATGCCAAGTTGACATGTTGAAAAACACCTACAGTCTCTTGAAGCTATGCTAGAGTACAGTCTGTGAAAGTATAGATCTTGAAAAAGTCTCTTTGAAATAAAGTCGTAAAAGGAAAGATAATTAATTACGTATGTATTAATCATAAATAGGCAACTACTTTTTAAAAAAAGGTCATGAAAATTCACACTCAAGCATTAACAAGTGAAGAAAATTCACAAGAGCAAATACAACTGCGAACATTTTTACCTTATTATCTTTCCTTTTCTCTCTTGGGTGGAGGGTCAGAGATTAATTTGAAACCAATTGAGCCTTTTAAAACCTGAACTCTTAAACGAATTAGAGTAAGAGAAAAACCTTGTGAACAAGTAGATACATATAATGACAAAATTGTATAGAAAGAGGATGTAAAAGTATTTGATGAGGGAATGGCAAAGGAAGTGGAATCAGGAGCTTCAAACATTGAGGTCTGTGAGAAGTATAACTGTGAAAAATGTAAGGCCTCTAGAATTTCTGATATGACCAAATCATAAGGCAGGTAAAATAAGAAAGTAAAGCTGTCAAAGCATAGTCAAAATTGTTGCAATGTAAGGATTGCAACAATTGCAATAGGGAATTTTAAAAGGTAATTAATACTGGAGTAAAACAAAGTCTATTTCTGCATTGCTCTGAACTTTGGCACTGGGGCCTAAGTTGTTAGATTTGGTCCCATCTGTGACTCTGAAATTAAGGCTGCTTTTACACGTGTGTAATGGGAGAGGCTTGATGGCAGTAGTCCCCCATGTTTATGTCATTTCCTTATTGCTTCCTGATCTGGCTTTGTTACTCCAGTTTCTAATAACTGAGATTTTGAATTATTCCAGTTCCCAAACTACTGAGTTCTTATGCAACACGGAATTGTGTGTCCAATAAGTGATTCCTATACTCTTTCTCTGTCTTAAGAGTGACTGGTGGTCAACTCTGCTTTATATTACCACCTCTCATTTTCACTTTTCCGGCCTTCAATTTCTAGAAGTTACACAGCCTGCACTATATCTCACTTCCCTGTAATTGGCTTTGATCAGCCTATAGGTTTCCAGATTTCTGAGATGTAGTCAATCTGTGAATAAAACTCTGATCCCCAAAAATCATTCTATCCACCTTTTATTCTAAAATTGAAGACAGTTTTCTCTTTCACTGGCCAAGCAGCAACTGGCCGCCTGATAGTATTGCCTTCATAGTTCTACTATGGACTACTGATCATTTAGATCACGACTAAGCTACTCTGGGGCTACTCCAGCAAAATGCCTAGAACTTGATATTGTTCATATACTTTCTCTTCCTTTTATGTTTTAGGCACCTAATTTGTCATTTATTAACAAATTCCAACTTCAATTTTGGAATATTCTTTAATCATTCCTATAGTAACCCAACTCCAGTGAAGTTCAGTAAACTGCTTTACCTGCTTTTATTCAATATTCTGTGGCTCCTGGACTCTTAACCTACCTTATTGCTAACTTTCAGGTGGATTTGAATGTTTGTTCTTAGTTTCTTGTCCACTATTGTTAATCAAAAGAAACAATGTTTTAGCAGAATATCCTTGGCACTTCTTTAAGTGATGTATTAGTCTACATTCATAGTGCTAATAAGGACATACCTGAGACTGGGAAGAAAAACGGTTTTAATTGGACTTACAGTTCCACATTGCTGAGAAGCCTCTGAATCATGGTGGGAGGTGAAAGGTACTTCTTACATGGCAGTGGCAAGAGAAAAAGAGGGATATGCAAAAGCAGAAATCCCTGATAAAACCATCAGATCTTGTAAGACTTATTCACTACCATGAGAACAGCATGGGAAAAACTGCCCCCATGATTCAAATGGTCTCCCACCAGTCCCTCCCAGAACACATGGGAATTATGGGAGTACAATTCAAGATGAGATTTAGCTGGGGACATCACCAAATTGTATCATTCCACTCTTAGCCCCTCTGCATCTCATGTCCTCACATTTTAAAACCAATCATGCCTTCCCAATAGTCCACCAAAGTCTTGACTCATTTCAAAATTAACCCTAGAGTCCCTAGTCCAAAGTTCCATCTGAGACAAGGCAAGCCCTTCTGCCTTTGAGCGTGTAAAATCAAAAGCAAGCTAGTTACTTCCTAGGCACAATGGGAGTACAGGTATTGGGTAAATACAGCCATTCTAAATGGGAGAAATTGGCCAAAACAAAAAGGTTACAGGGCCCACACAAGACCAAAATCCAGCAAGGCAGTCAAATTTTAAAGCTCCAGGTCTCACATCCAGGTCACTCTGATGCAAGAAGTGGGTTCTCATTGTCTTGAGCAGCTCTGCCCCTGTGTCTTTGCAGGATACAACCTCCTGTCCAGCTTTTTTCACAGGCCAGTATTGAGTGCAGCTTTTCCAGGTAAATGGTGCAAGCTCTCAGTGGAACTACCATTCTGGGGTGTGGAGGATGGTGGCCCTCTTCTCACAGCTCCGCTAGGCAGTGCCCCAGTAGAGACTGTGTGGGGGCTCCAACCTCATTTCCCTTCCACGCTGCCCGCAGAGGTTCCATGAGCACACCACCCCTACAGCAAACTTCTGCCTGGGCATCCAGGCATTTCTATACATCTTCAGATATTCTTGACTTTGTGCACTCACAGACTCAACACCATGTGAAAGCCACAAAGCCTTCAAGCTTACACCCTCTGATGCCACAGCCTGAGCTCTACATTGGCCCCTTTCAGCCATGGCTGGAACAGCTAGAACACAGGGCACCAAGTCCTTAGGCTGCATACAGGGACCCTGGGTCCAGCCCAGGAAACTATTTTCTCCTAGGACTCCAGGACTGTGATGGGAGGGGGCTGCCCTGAAGACCTCTAACATGCCATCAGACATTTTCCCCATTGTCTTAGAGATTAACACTCAGCTTCTCGTTATGTATGAAACATTCTGCAGTCAACTAGAATTTCTCCTCAGAAAATGGGTTTTTCTTTTCTATCACATTGTCAGACTGCAAATTTTCCAAACTTTTATTTTATTCAGTTTCCCTTATAAAACTGAATGCCTCTAACAGCACCCAAGTCACATCTTGAATGCTTGGCTGCTAAGAAATTTATTCTACCAGATCCCCTAAATCATCTCTCTAAGTTCTACGTTCCACAAATCTTTGGCAGGGTTAAAATGCCACCAATCTCTTTGCTGAATCATAACAAGAGTCACCTTTGCTCCAGTACCCAGAAAGTTCATCTCTACCTGAGACCACATCAGCCTGGACTTTATTTTCCATATTGCTATCAGCAATTTGGGCCAAAGCATTCAAGTCTCTAAGAAGTTCCAAACTTCCCCATATTTTCCTGTCTTGTTACTTAGTGGCTGTTCATATCATTCATTAATCAATTATATTGAATGATGGTTTTACTGGAGTTTCAAAAAAAAGAGAGTTTAACACGATGCTAAAAGTGAAAAAAAATCAGATAAAAAAATTAAAGCCCAATTTTGATTTCTTACTGAGTGACTCAATATAGAACTGATTTCTAAAATTTAGGTCTGATGTATCCCTAAATAACAGAAAATAATCATAAGAGTAAAATTCTTATTTCTTAACAAAAATGTCTAAAAACATAATTTAAGTAATAATTTTAAATATACTATGATCAACGTTTTAATATGTGCAACCCTATAAATACCTAGTATTTTTACAAGGTTCCTTAAATAGCAAATGCCGTGTTTCAGGGAAAGAAGATTGGCTAAGATAGAAAACAGAAGAAGCCAGTCACTGATTAGGTTAAAGATATCTTACTTCTTGTCTTGCAGTCCTCTCTGATAAGGAAGGCTTATAAAAAATGATAACAACCTTGTAATATTAAGATTCTGTCATATGATTACCGACAAGCAAAATTTTTACAAATCTGGTTAGACATTGATGTGCCATTTATATATCATTTCTCACCTGCTTGAGAAGAAAAGCAAATGGGAACGTAAGAGAAAATATTATTTTGGTATTACTTCTTAGACCTATCTCTTCAAAGATTGATAGGAATTTTGAATACTCTCGATGTGCTATCTTAAAACTGCAGAAAATGATGATTTTCCCCCTATGAAATTCTGTATAAAAGAATGTTCGGTTACACATATAATTTGATCTCTGATCTTCTCTTTTCCATCTCTGGGATAATTTCTTTTATCCTTCAAATAACACCTATATTTCTGGTATTGTTAA